ATTGATGACTCAATTACTGAAGTATCTACCAGGTCCAGAAGACTCGTTAGCACATCTGTGATGATCCATGCATATCCACTGTTCATCATCCCGGTTTCTTTGGCCTTGAGGAAAAGGCGGGAGGCAAGATGTTCTTGCAAGTGCACAATGAACACCCTGGTCTGCATTGTCTTCAACTTGTATAGCTCCCTGAGGATTTGATCATCATTGGCTGAAGGAGAAATACCACTTCTATAGGAGACTAAAGTATTGATTTCCAGCAAGGCATCAGTCAAATATGGAAGTATCCCGGTTCCATAGGGGCTTTCCTCATAGATTACTACAACCTCCCTCCAATTATAGTTTTTAACAATTGCTGCAATGGCTTTAGTCTGACTGGAAGAAGGAAGTGCGCCTCTGATGAAGAAGGGATTTTCCTTGACTGAAAGTGAAGGACTAGTTGCTGGAGATATTATAGGAACTTTAACTCTGTTCCCCAAGTCGATCACAAAATCAGTTTGTGTAGACATTTGTGGCCCAAAGATAGCTTGCACTTGGACATCCTTTAGCAAGTATATGGCTGCACATACACAATCAGACTATAAGAAATTGTCTGAACATCTCTTTTTCAAAATAGGAAAAGTAATATCTTAGAGAAAAAGTGAATCTTTTGAAGCAAAGAGAGAAAAATAATCCTAGTTTAACATAAGTAAAGCTTAGAGCTGAATTTTACCAGCTGATGCTGCTTCAACATCATCTTTCTTTGAATCCCTGATATGAGGAACTATCCTTATGGCACCGCGACTAGTGTTGGCATGATAATCTGCAAGAGCTAGTAAGATAGATATGTGCATTACTTTTCCCACATCTGTTTCCAGATCAAGAATTATGCCCACATCCACCTTTACAGCACTAGTGTTATTATCTTCACCTCTTATTCCAATTACATAGTGGCAAAAGCTAATGATGGAAACAAGTTGAATGAAAATAATTAGGAATTTGCATCTTGGATTATGCATTTGAAAAACTCTTGTAGAAAGTAATATGAGTGTTGGGCAAGAAGCAGTTGTGCTTGTGCAAGATTTATAACCACCATTCAGAGATGTGTTTAAAGGTATCTTAACTATAACTTTTCTACAATTAAATGAGACCAAACCTCATAACTGCAGAAAGAAAAGTCAAAGTTTTCAAAGAATTACAAATGGTTTAAAATATACTAGTTTGATTATTAAAGAAAGAGGACTTTTCACACTTGTTAGACCACAAGCTAGTAAAGCCTCCTCAGTTTTGACCAAATCAATAAATGACTAAATGAACATAGTGACAAAATTGATTTGTACTCATTCTCCCAATACCCAAAGAAGTTTTTGTATTCATTGGATGACTATCTAGAGGCTACTAAAAGGACTTCCCATATTTTGGCTAAGTCATGTTGAAAGTTGAGTGCTAGCTCAGTTACAAATAAGTAGAAGAGGTCAGTTTCTATGACTTGGACATTGGAAAAGGGCAGCTATGACTAGTAATCTTTAGTTTACTTAGACGGTTCAGTTTAGAATTGGTCAGTAGTATAAAACTTTATGGTGGTAGAGGCACAACTTGTAGGGTTGTTCCGGGTTATCGTTAAAAAATCAAATCAAACTTGTAGGGTTGTTTGGTTAGGTTTTAAATTTTGAAAATCAACACTATTTGGTTTGGTTTGGTTTTAAAACTGTAAAAATAACCAAATTGAACGTGTAATTATAATAATTGCTTGATTGAATCCACAGTAACTTTCATGTGTATTGTTCATGTACTAGGTGTCTGTGTTTATATGTCTTCAAAAAAATTATTACTTCCAAAACAAAAAAACAAAAAAAATTGAACCAAACCGACAATTATTTTTTTATTTGGTTTTAGAATTTAGAAACCGACTAAATTGATCTGGCTTTGATTTTAGCCAATAATCAATCCAAATCGAACCATGAACACCTCTAGGCACAAATATAACTTGGTATGTGAAGGATTACTATAATACCTTTCCTTCAACTTTTTTTTAAAAAAAAAAAACCTCTATTGGTAAATTTTTCAAATCAGTTTTTTTTACTCATGAGCTCTATTCCTTTCCCTTTTATATTTTTTATAATATAAAATATAAGATAAAATAAAGAATTTTTTTAAAAAGAAATGAGAAAAAAAATGATGAAGATGAGGGGTGAGGAGCTAAAGGAGAGAAGAAAGATAGAACATAAGATGAGAAAGGTAGGGTCCCCATATTTTCTTTATCAAAAAGTAATTTCTTACCTACCAAAGTCATATTTATGCCTCTACCACCACAAATTTTTTCGTATTAACTTGCTTGCAAGTTGCAAAACCAAACAAAGCAAGCATACCCAAATGGAGATGGAATCTTGGAATGAGGATGGTTGGGTATACATGTAGGTTTCAATGTCATTATCTCAATATATATATACTAGAGGGGCATGGCCCGTGCTAAGCACGGGCCCAACATAAACATAGTTAGTCTATTATTCTCTATATAGGCAAAATATTGTTGGAAACTATTCACTTATATAAGTAACTAATTCAAGTTATGTGTTTGTTAACAAAGTTTATTCATTCAAGCATCTGCAAACTATACACCATACCAAACCACCAATAAAGAAAAAGACATGAAATGTTAACACAAATTAAACAACTTCAAAAGAAAGAAAGAAAAGAAGAAGAATCAAGGAGGTGAAAGAACATTAAAATTTTGCAGTCTTATCAGTCAAATTCTAGTGGTGTCACAACTTTCACAGGGACCATCAACTCTTCAACTTTTTGTACATATTTGCTTTTCAGTGCCAATAAATTATTATCTGTCGTTCCTGCAAGTTTTTGGAAAAAGTGTATCAACAATTGATGCTAAAGATCATATACTTTGTTTTGTATTTTATTTTACCAAGTAAAAAAGTCAGTAATTGATATACCTAATTTACTGCACTTAAGACATTCTAGCTTCTAAATCTAATAAAACAATACTAATGAACACTTTTAAATAAATGAAAGATGATGGTACCTAAGGGATGGAGTAAATGAATCATGTGAAGTAAGCAAATTGAAGTCAAAGTGAATGTGTCAATTACGTGGCCATTATATCAAATATTTGTCAATTCTAACCAAAAAGAAATTGTTAGACAGTAAATTTGTAAAACTTTATAGAAAATGACCTTTTATTTTGTCTATTTTGCCCTTTCATGTGCTCCTTCATGTCGCTTCCCCTTTCCATTTTGTCGTCCCTCTCATCTCAATTCCCGTTTTGTTGTCCTCTCTTCCCAATACTATTTTTATCCAGCTTGATCTGGAAAAGAGGTAACTGACATATTAGTGTACTTAATTTGGAACAAAATCACTTGGAGAACAATAAAGTAGGTAATAAACACGAACAATACTTAGACTCTGAAGTCTTGGTGATAGTTAAGTAGTAGAATGAGGAAGAGATTATACAAATCAATAGAGTTCAAACAACAACATATCTTATCAAATCTTATCACTACCTCGTGGAGGTAGAGGTACTCTTTCCGAAAGATCAAATCACTGATCTCGATAGTTATTGTTGAGTAGTTAATACATAAATCTCTCCAGAGTAACAAAAAAAGGGCAGATAGGGATTAAAAGAAATTAAGAAAATGAAATACGATGCTACATTTCTCAAGAGTTAAAAAGAGGGACAACCAATTTGAGTAGTAGATTCAGGTTGATGGTGATCTACTATACAACTAAATGGTGCAACAACTCAAAATCTCAAGGAAAACAAATCAAGACATTCTTGCAAATTAAAGGCACTAATAAAACTGCGGCAGAAATTCTCGTGACTGTGTGGTTCTATATGGAAAATGACTTCCACATGCTTGGTCTTAGCAATACGCCATGTGCACAAGGAAAAATATATTATAACCACGCGTTTCTTGTTACCGATAAACATGACTTATGAGAAAGTCAGTTTTTAAGAGAATTCGAAGAACAACAGGATAAGAAACTACCCTTTCATTTACTTTCTCAAACACTTAATAAGGCTTCCGTTTTTTCAACATTCTTGCAGAGTTGATTGTGGAGATCAACAATTCATCCATTTGACCATTATCACTTGTAGACACACTAAACTGACAAAGAGTCTTATATCAGGGGTGTATAAATGAAAACCCCTTCTTTTCATATCTATTTGAATTGATTAAACTTGTCGCACAACAAATAGGATCAACGTTTTCAGTAATCAAAGGAAAGAAAAAAATCTACATCAAAGGCATGTTATATGAAGTATGTGAAATAAGGATTGTAGAAACGAAGGAGAAATAAAGATTTGATTAGCTTACCATTCAAAGTAATTGTAGACAAACAAAGAAGAAGTGAATATTTGATCACCGCTTACCGTTCAACTCAACTGTAGACAAACGAAGAAGAAGTGATTGACCCTTAATTTGGAATCAATTGATTTTTTACTATATCTCGATAAAAAATTTAATTTATGTAACTCATTTCTATATAAACAACCAAGATGCTTAGAACATACATAACATATTCAATGTGGCTTACTTCTATAAAAATCATAAATAAAATATAAAGGAAAGCTTCAAACTCTACCTAATTAGTTCATATGATCAGCAAAATCCAAAAAACTTGAAAAAAGAAACAAATTTGTACTCTCTTGCAGAAATAAGTTTTGTCTTTTGGAAACAACCTCTCTATCTCCACGAAGTAGGGGTAACAGTCTACGTACACTCTACCTCCTCAAACCTCACTTATGGGAACTACACTGGGTATGTTGATGTTGTTGTTGTTGAAATAAGCACAAAAGACTGGACTCTCACTAAAACTTCCGTAAAGATCAAATTCTTAAGTTTCATTCTGCAACTAAAAATCCCGAAAATGAAGAATCAGATTACTCACATTGACAAAAGTGGGGTAAAAAATAACTTGAGCTTTGCTATTCAAAACATCAACAACTTCTTCAATCCCAGAAAGTCTTTTAATTGCCTTTAAATGCCTAGCACTATTTTTTTAAGAAGAAATTACTGAACAACCTTAGTGAAAATTCCAAATTCGCCATTGCATCCAACCCCCGTCCCATCCCTGGACTATCCTACACCAGCTACCCTTAAATCCTCACCCATCCATCCCATTGAGTTTTGCTGGATTACAACGGCCCCCATCCCATCCCTTGACTATCCTATACAAAATGGAAAATCTCTTCTCCAAGGAGTTAGGAGACAATAATCGACATAACTATGTCATCTTATATAGGGACAAAATGAATACAATCTCACCCTGTGGTCTTCGAATCTATAGTAGACAAACGGTAAGTAAAGAGATATTGTATAACTGCACCAACTATTCATTATTTCTGAAGTAATACAGTGAGTGCATCACATGTTAAAGAAATAAAATTAAGTTTATTACTTTTATTCATGAACATGTACAACTCTTGAGATGAACTTTAATTTGTCAGTAAACTATAAAATAGAGGTAATTTGTAAAGGCTTAAGCCTATTGGATTAGATTATGTTCTCCGTGGGGGCAGTTTTTCTTCAACTCCAAAACTGTATACGTCACTTCTGGTGGTTATATGATTTACATATGAGAGGCGACAATTAGAAGCTGAGAAAAGAAATGATCTCAGGTTACATGACAGAACAAACCAAGTAATGTTACACTCCCAATTTCTTTCAGGACACATAGTATTGATATTTGCGAGCATGAAAGACTGAAGGATTAAACAGAGGAGATAACTCTTAAGAGAGACCTCATCAAGAACTTAAGAAAATTTGTGTGATAATTTAACAAATTTAGCGAGGCTAATTGATGAAGGAAGTCTATTCACACTATATTCATTTTAGTGCACTTATTGACTAAATGTTTCCCAAGTTCGAATGTGAGGCCTCTATTTGAGGATGTAATAAAACAACATTTACCATTAGAACTAATTGAGCAGCTTGTGTTAACCCTCTGTATTTACCTGACGAATATGCTTTAAGGTGGAGGAATTTTTTGCAGTAGTCTTCTATTAAAACATCATTTAAGCTACCTAAATGAATGGACAACATGTAGTTTTTCGACGCAGAAACAAAAAATCTACCTAACAAAGAGACAGATATATCAAAGAAGCCACAGGTCGATAATCAGAGTGTCCTAAAGAGTTACATTTACAAAAGTTGAGGAGACTGGACACGCTGTCAAATTAACTCAACACTGATGCTGCATTGAAAGTGAGAGTCCATGTAATGTGGATACAATTCATTAAGTACACACAAAACAGTCAGCAACTAATTTCAGTGATGTGCAACAAAATTCATATAACATAGCCACCAAGTTGACCATAAAATCCATCAAAACACATTAATGAGGAATTCGTCTTACTTCAGTTTTGAATTCCCCCGGCTTTTAAGTATACAAGCCACATTTTTACTGAATTTTCTCTTCAAGTGCAGTAAAGTAGCTCAAAGAACAGAAAGCAAAGTTACAACTGACAACTACATCGAGAAAGAGGCTACTATGGACTGTCAATTTTTACATGTGAATCCAAAAATTAAGCTCGCATAACAACGGGTAATATACCAAATTCATATTAAATTTTAGATCAAACAACATCATTTATCATGCCAAAACAGTCTAGCTGTGCAACTTTTAAGCAATTTGGATACACTTATATCTAAAAATTGGCTAAACTATTGATAAACGTACTATCTAATGCTGGAAATATGACATAGTACAGTGAATATTGATCAATTTACTACCATCGCTGCATTTTGATACTCCTTGAACAGAGAAACGGATGGAAATGGACCAGCCAAGCTACGCCTAATTACACCATCTCTATCTTTTAACTACTTTTGTACTTGGCTTCCGATTGACGCTCAGCTCAGGTAAAGCACAAGAACAATTAGGAGTAAATTGAAATTGTATATTACCAGTGGTCATATACTCGGGAGTAGCACAACTGAATTGTATGGACAAATCATAAGAGGGCAACAGAAATATTGTTAAAACTTGTAGAAGACTAAATTTTAAAGTAGTTTTAGATACAGCAGCCAGCAAAATGTTAGATGATTTGAAATCCTGATACATAATTTTAGCTTCTGGGCTGTGGAGATATGTCAGTCCTTTAGCTGCCTTGAGAGTAACCTTCATTCGGAGATTCTATGATAGCGGTTGGAAATAAGCACTCCTCTGTTCAAGATGTACCAAAGGTTTATTCAATGACATTACACGGATAATATTAGTGGATGTCCTCAAATTAGATGTGGATTCAAGATTTCAAGTTTATGGATTTCTATAATGAACTAAGTTCATAGTAAAATAAATTTCTTATACATGGTTTAGAAAAAACAATTGGGTCCCCATGAATCTACATATCATATTGTGGATCTGTTCTTGCGTTAAATATGCAGTTATGGTTTCATACAAACTATACTTACTTCTGAATAGATGATTTTCCAAACTTCCCCTCGGCATGAATTCGCACACCAGAATCTTGTGTTCATCTTCTAACCTGGCTCAGGTAAGCAATTTTCGCCTGTAGTTTAAGTGTACAGAGAAAACAGTTAATCAACTTATCAAGATCAAGAATTATAGGAAAGCTTCAATGTCTTTGATAAAACAATCATCGGATATTTTAAAGGGAAGAGTTTATATACCAATCATTCCTTGTGACCTTGAAAGCTTTCTTCAAGAATTTCACTTTGACTTTGAGGAGTCAACTGAGCCGATAAATATGAATGTGATCATGGAAATGATGCCTAATTAATATGTATCTTTGTATGTCTTCTGTCTGTTCCTAGTAAAAGTTGCACCAGTTTACATCAATTAAGTAATAAACTGAATAAGTTATAACATGACTATCTTATAGCTTATTTCAAACTGAACACGTACATCTTCATTACGTTTTTTAAAATTTAGTAGAAATAGAAATGTATAATGGTACCTGATAAGCAAATCAAATTCGTGACTATCTTCTTGGCTCATTCGTTATGGATGAACTTGAAGTTTCATAATGAACTTACTTTCAGCAGGGTTATAAGCATCCAGATCATAAAATTCTTCAGGGGCAAATGGTATAGGAACAAATCTCTGAGCCAATTTTGTAATTCCCTCAAGGCGGTAACTATTGATTGAAATCTGCATTTTTCCATAGCTTTCAGATAAATGAATAAGATGTGTTAAAAATGGAGATTGTTTGCTATTTATATACCGAAACTTGCACTCTATGAAAAATAAATAACTTATCTTACAAAGAATTCTTCATGTTCAAAGAAAGTCTCCCGTGTCATATAAGCAAATTATAGTTTATGTTTATCTACATATACATATGTTAGTATTCAACATTATAATTCAACTGCATATCCAACTGGAAAATTAAATCAACTAAAGAGGGAGAAATACTGGACTTTCCACATATGAGAAAGGGTTGTGAAAATAGGGTAACTCTAATAGCTAATCCTTCCAGTTGAAAGTGTTTTTGAGAAAAAAAATCAAATTAAGTTCGATGTACCTGATAACGCTCAATGTTCCCTGCATGGCATCTTCTCAATTTCTTTCCTTTCCTTTCTTCTCCAAGTACTTGTAAAGTCCTATTTATGAAAAATTAACAAATTGAAAAAACACCCACATCAAGAACAAAAGCGGAAGAAACACTACATTTCAATAATCAAAAGCACAAAAAATTGAAATACAAAGCGGGACAACGGAGAAGAAGAGGAGTAAACGACCATAACAACAACATCCAATCAAGTTTAGATTCAGTACATGCAACATTACCACAACCTAAACACCAAAATTGATGAATAAAAAAAAGTCGGAACTCATCAAATGAAAAAATCGACAAAACAGATCTAAAGTCAAAAGGCAAAACAAAAATGAGAAGAAAGAAGGAAGGGAAGAAGCAGTGCATACCTAGGAAGGTATGCAATTTAACTGAGAATTTCATATGAGGGCTTGCAAAACCCTTCCATTTTGCAGAGCATTTTTTCTTGGGACAGAGAATGGATGCAGAGGAACAGGGATATATCACATAGCTAGGACACGTGTTTCACAGATGAATATACAGATACACATTAGTTAGAAAGCAATGAGTCAAATTACCAAATTAACCCTATTGGTACAATTAACTTGAATTTTGGTACAACTTGTATATGTTGTGTTAGTCCGAACTCTTGTTGGCTGTAGAAGGACACGTGTAGCCCACGTGTTTATTCAATAGTGAATAGGGCTTAATGGTACAGTACAATTTTTTATACTATTGGTACAACTTTGTAGAGCTGTGTTGGTACTCTTCTTGTTGGCTTATATATAAGGGTAAAGAGCTGTGTTGGTACTCTTCTTGTTGGCTTATATATAAGGGTAAAGAGCTGTGTTGGTACTCTTCTTGTTGGCTTATATATAAGGGTAAAGAGCTGTGTTGGTACTCTTCTTGTTGGCTTATATATAAGGGTAAAGAGCTGTGTTGGTACTCTTCTTGTTGGCTTATATATAAGGGTAATATATATACTCCCTCCGTCCCAATTTATGTGGCACCCTTTATTTATAGTCTGTTCCAAAAAACAATGTCATCTTACTATAATTAGAAACAAGGGAAAAGACTCAAATATGTTATTGAAATTTGAGAAAAGACTCATTTATGTCGTCCGTTAAAAGTTTGGTTCATCTATGTCATTTTCGTTTGAGAAAAAACTCATCCATATCATTAGTTGTAAACTAAAAATAATTTTGGTTTTGTAAGATCATTTTATACACGTGGTCAATTATGATTTGGCCATGTCATCAATTAAATCATTTCTATAGAAGAGAAAAGGTTCAAATATGTCATCGAACTTTGAGAAAAACTCATTTATAACATCCGTTAAAAGTTTGTCTCATCTATGCTATTTCAGTTAATAAATAATGGCATGAATGAGGTTTTTCTCAAATGAAAATGGCATAGATGAGCCAATTTTTTAACGAATGACATATATGACCTTTCTCAAAGTTCGATGGCATATTTGAGTTTTTTCACTAGAAACAATTTCATTTAAAATTCACTGTTATCCTTAATGAAATTATTTACAAACACACAAATATCTAAGGATTGTTTTAAATCACAAGTTTAAAAGTCTTTTTTTAAAAAAATAAATATATCGTGTCAAGTTAAACAATGCCACATAAAATGAGACGGAGAGAGTAATTGTTAATGCAAGAGGAAGCTGCTCGGGAAGTTACGTGTATGATGTTGAAGTTATTTGACATGCAATTGAGGTGATCCTATAATCTTCCAGTAGTTATGACTAGTAAAATCACTCAATTTATAAAATAATACTTAAAATATATGAGTCATTAAAACTAAAACACTATATTATCTTACATATAAGATTACATATAACAAACATTAATAATGTAAGTAAAAAAAAATTTGAATATGTTAACAAATTTTTGAATTTTTTCCTCAGACATATATCACAATTGTAAAATCTATGCAACTTAAATGTGTTCTTGTTCTTACGAAACGCCTTTGTGTATATATATTCTTATTTTATTCTCTCTTTTTTTCCTTTTAATGATGATTAAATAACCATTAATTTATTATTTCCTGAATAATTCATTCATTAGATGTTCTTGAGTTTATGTGATAATGACAAATAATAGTATAGATTCTTTTAAGGAATTTTTTACTGTACCTTCAACAATTTCATGATCAGTAGAGAAAACTTGCATGAATACTCAATTAACATGTGTTGTTTAATCTGTACTAACAAATACTTAAAACAATAACTTTGTAGAAACATAAACACAAGTTTAAAACATGTACTCAAAAACAATAATTAATAACATAAGCATAAATTAATGATTGTAAAAAAATATACCAGGATCTGTAATAATAGGATGAAACAGAAAGGAAAAAACTGTACACGAATATTTAATTGTGCAGATTAAGAAGAAGAAGTTCAAAATTTTCGTTTTTTTAAAATGAGAGGAAATCACTCTATTTATAGCTAGACAACAAAGGGTAGTGTGAACAAATGTTTATTGTGCCTTATCGAAAAGGTCACAACTCTTTGGAAAAGTTACAACTGTTTGGAAAGGTCATAACCTTTCATAAAAGACACAACTTTTCATAAAAGTCGCAACTCTACATAGAAGTTACAACTTTTCATAAAAGTCGCAACTGTTCATATAAGTCGCAACTTTTCATAAAAGTCACAACTTTTCATTAAAGTAGCAAATTTTTATGAAAGGGGAAGGATAGTTTTGTAAATATATTAATTAAAAAAGGAATCATGGTTTGTGATGGCGCCACGTAGGCAGGCCTAGGATTCTCTTTTATATATATATATGATATATGATATGATTATTTACTGTGGTCGTTTTCTGATATGATCACAATAAGATATAACCGTCTATTATCTTTTAAACTTGTTTTTCTTTTTAGTTTGCAATATATTTTGGATTGGTAACATTAGTAGTATTAAATTGTTAACAGCACTAGTTTGCAATATTTTTGGTTTCTACAAACATTATTTGCACATATTGAAAGAAATATATATGATATGGTTTCATTGAATTATATCCTCTACATAAGCAGTGAAGACAAACAAAGTACTAATGTTATTTAAATTGTCTCTAAAATTTTGATGATTTAACAAACTTTGAGATCTAACGAACGACCAGATTCCAAGAGAGATTGAGAGTTCCGTTTATGAAAAAAACAGCGGTCTAAAAGCTGCAACACCTGCTGTGGTTGGTGCACGTATTTTGCAGCAGACATTCAGCCAATAGCAGGGCATTGCTTCAAGAGTTTGGGTCCATCCTATAATACACCTCTTTGACATTGACACAAACTCAAGTTTTTGCAATATAAAAATTCACAACAGCAAAAGTCATTCTCTCAGGGAAATATTTCTCGATAAATGATAGAGTTATCATCGTTCTTATGTGTTTTTAGGGCTTATATTTCTGTGCTTATACTTGTAAGATCTATTCCTACGTTATAAAGGAATTAGATCATTTGAAGTTTTTTCTGAGTATTCCGAGTTATATCTAGAGTTAGTTATGTTGTATTCTTGAATTCTAGATCAACTATAGCTAGTTGATTTAGTGGGTCATAGAGTTATTGCTTAGTTTTTGAGTAACAGAGTTGTTACTATGAGGGGAAGGGATTAAGAGTTTAATTCCTAGGTTACAAGAGTTTGTAATCTGAAGCTTTGCACTTTTGATGATAATGGAGTTGGGTTAAATCCTGTGAGACAGACCGTGGTTTTTTCCTCCCTTGAACAAGGGGCTTTCCACGTAAAACTCTTGTATTTGTTTTAATTTGTGTTATTTATTTTCCACACAATTTTTCTTTCAAGGGACTTGGTCCATTGACCGTTAGTGGACGCATACATTCTATGAGTACTAATAAGATTGAAAAAGAAACCACTAAGAAAAAGTTAGGGTTAAATCCATCAAATGGAATCCTGGAGCCACCTCTTGATGCTAATATTCTGGCCAAGATCAGTAACAAAGATATAATGTAATCTGGTTTAACTAACCCTAAAGCTAGCTCATCTCTGTGCAATCTCATATAGGGCCCTATTCAGGTGTGTCACAATTATGGTAGTAGCTATATGTGTCATCTTTCTTCAATTGTGTCTGTAATGGTTTCATGAACTGGAGTTCCAGGTTCTGTTGTAGAGAACCCTTCAGCAGCAGGGGATGCTCCTAGTCCGTCGGAAATTCTGATTTCTGGGATTTGCAAAGGAAGGTCAGGCAATATCTCAGGAGAAGCTTCACTTGCTGCGAGCAATTTAGGTGCATTGCTTTCAGATGGCTTTTCTGACATAGAATTAGAGTTGTCTTTCTCTTCATCAAAGACTTTTGCAATTGCTGTAAGCTTCTGCCATATTGAATCATCAGTGGCTAAGATTTCTCTATTCTGATTAAGGAAGTTGAGGAAGAATAGGAGAAGAGCGAAGCCTGCTGATACACCAGCTATGAGGAAAAGTCCCTTAAACCTATCTAACGTGAGGCTATCAGATGTTATAGCCGTTTCATCTTTCTGTGGACAATCTGTTTCATTCCCAAACCATTTCTGTATTATGTTATTCATGAACTCTCCTTCCATCACCTTCAAGACTGCTCTTGAGACGTCAGGTACCAAAGGAGATCCTTTTGGAAATGCCTGCAATAAAAGATTAGATGATTGAGTAAACAACAAATCATTCTAAATATATGTTAACAGTGTCTGAAACATCAGTGGAGTGTACAATCTTACAAACCCAAAACCGGCAGCCTTGTATGTCTGGCCGACCATAACATACTTCCTGCAGTACTTGTTGAGGAAGAGTCTGAGATAAGGTAGTTCATCAACAATTGCACCTACACCTCCATTTTTGCTTCCTCTTGAGAGGGCTTCATCATATTCTTTCAATGTGATATAACTTCTGAACTTGGAGCTGTCAAATTTCATGCGCTTTATGAAGACATCTTTGACAAAGGAACCTTCTTGGTACCCAACATATTCTCCATTCTTGATGAGATCATTGAGGTCTGTTATAGTAGGTTGGAGCTGTTGCAGTGTCAACATAGATGTTAAGCTGGCTGTATAACTTGATGTCAGCACCAGAACCACAAAAACCCACACAATCAGCAAAAATCTTGTTAAGTTACTTGTTACCCTCTCTCCTGCAACAACCAGCCATAACATATTCTCCATTCTTGATGAGATCATTGAGGTCTGTTATAGTAGGTTGAAGCTGTTGCACTGTTAACATAGATGTTAAGCTGGCTGTATAACTTGATGTCAGCACCAGAACCACAAAAACCCACACAATCAGCAAAAATCTTGTTAAGTTACTTGTTACCCTCTCGGCTCGCTAAAATGGTCACATCACCTACAACTGCATCATAGTCCTGGCTCAAGCAAACATTGATTATTCCAGTATGTATAGTTGATTGTAATAGCAGAAAATAGATATCGAAGTCCCAAAAAGGACCATGTTAGTAAGATATAGAGCCAAAGAGGTTTATTGGAACAGAGATTATATATTACCTGAGAAGTGATCTTGTGAACAAGATCATCATAGTATGGAAGAGTGAGGGGATCTTGTATTGGAGATGGAATAAATTCGTAAGGGAGAGCATATGGCAAAGATAGGATGACTTCTTTGAAGACATCTGCACAGAAACCAGTTGCTGTTACTGCTTGTGTTTTTGAATCTCTTTCCACTTTAATGAGTTGCTCCAGCCCTCCTTTGAGAGGAACTCCAACCCTTAACTTCTTCCCACTTGTGGGCATTTCCCAGCCTCTTGGAACAATAGTTGATTCACCAGGCCAAAAAATGGTTCCTAGTTGCTCATTATTACACTTAACTGCTGTTTTACCACTGTTTTACTATTCATCTTCAGTTTATGCGAAATGCCATCCTTCTCTGTCCAGAATCCAACGCTTCTCTCTCCTTTCCCAATTATATTCACAATCTGATATGGGATTGGCTGCAGTTCTCCATTGATGATACGGAAATCACCACTTAATCCTTGTTTTAGCACTGTGTTTCGCATAGAGTCAATGAGCAGAGATCCCACTGCTGACGTTCCAAGTGCATCTAAGTCTGTTAAGTTCTCTCTGGTGTCTGGTTTCTTTAATTTTGGGATAGCAGTAGTGCCCACTTTATCTATTGCTTCTGCTAATGAGGTGATGCTATCGTATGCCCATAGCCCGAAAACATTGAGTTCTATTTGGTCCATGTCTGGATACTCTTGACGGAATCTCTTTCTCCATCTTTTCGTGTAATTGTTAAGCTGATTTGATCTTGGAATATAAGGTTTTATACCAAGAACACCTTGCATTGATGACTCAATGACTGAATGATCTACTGAGTCCAGAAGACTCGTTAGCACATCTGTGATGATCCATGCATATCCACTGCTCATCATCCCGGCTTCTTTGGCCTTGAGAAAAAGGCGGGAGGCAAGATATGGTCGCAAGTGCACGACGAACACCCTGGTCTGCTTTGTATTCATATTGTATAACTCCTTGAGAATTTGATCATCATTGGCTGACGGAGAAATAACACTTCTATAGGAGACTAAAGTGCTGATTTCCAGTAAGGCATCAGTCAAATGTGGAACTATCCCGAACCCATAGGGGCTATCCTCATAGATGACCACAACCTCTCTCCAATCAAATTTTTTAACAAGTGCTGCAATGGCCTTAGTCTGGCTGGAAGAAGGCAGTGCTGCTCTGATGAAGAAGGGATTTTCCTTGACTGTAAGTAAAGGACTTGTTGCTGGAGAAATTATAGGGACTTTTGTTCTGTTCCCTAAGTCAATCACAAAATCAGTTTGTGTTGACATTTGTGGCCCAAAAATAGCTTGTACTTGGACATCCTTTAGCAAGTATATGGCTGCACATACACAATCAGACAATAAGAATTTACCCAAAGTAAGAGTTTAATAGAAGTGAATCATGGAACTGAATTTACCAGCAGATGTTGCTTCAACATCATCTTTCTTGGAATCCTTGATATGAGGAACTATCCTTATGGCACCGCGACTAGTGTTGGCATGATAATCTTCAAGTGCTAGTAAGATAGATATGTGCATTACTTTTCCCTACATCTGTTTCCTAGATCAAGAATTATACCCACATCCACCTTTACAGCACTAGTGTTATTATCTTCACCTCTTATTGGAATTACATAGTGGTAAAAGCTAATGATGGAGATAAGTTGAATGAAAAGAATTAGAAAGTGGCATCTTGGATTATGCATTTGAAAAAACTCTGGTAGCAAGTAGTCTGAGAGATGGGCAACAAGCAGTTGTGCTTGTGCAAGATAACCACACATTCAGAATGATAAATTTTCCTATAATTAATAAGACCAAACTCCATAAATGCAGAAACAAAAGTCAAAGAACAAATGGTTGAAAATCAAGTATTCGTTTGATTATTGAAAGTGAGGACTTTTCACATATGCTACAACCGCACAGCTAGTAAGCATACTACCCCTCAGTTTTGACTAAATAAAAAATTGGCAAAATTGATTGGTACTCATTCCCCCAATACCCAATAACTTTTTGTGTGTACTATCTAGAGGATATATTCAAGGGAACTTACATGAATTCAACTAATTTAGAAGTTAATTACTTGAATACATTGTAGTTTGCAATATTACGTATTTTACTAGATTTTGGTATGTCCAGATACATATATGTGAGGTTACTTAGAATCAAAATTAGGTGTAATTTGCTCTAGATGCATTGTATCTAAGTGACTTTGCATGTATCTGGGATACATAACAAATCTCGCTCGCCTCTCTCCCATCTCTCACTCTCCTATGTATCTGATATTCCATATACATGTGAATCACACCAGATACATACACATAAATGTATCTTATGTGTATATAGTGTGATTCGCATGTATCTGGGATACATAACAAATCCCGCTTGCCTCTTTTCTCATCTCGTTCCCCTATCTCCCTATTTTTGTGTATCTAATGGCAAAAATACATGTAGCCAAATGTATTTTCCTCAATATATGATAGGAAACTCTTAATTAGTGATAGTATACGAAATATTTTAAAAGTATAGAATATAATAGTATATATGATAGTGAAGTATGTCTAATGATATAGTTTTTCTGTATTGAAAGGACTTCCCAAATTTTGGCTGAGGCATAAAAAGTTGACAAATTTAGCTCAGTTACAAATTCCACAATTAAACCAATAAGTAGAAGAGACCATTGTTTTCCAACTTGGACAAGGCTAGATACGACTAGTAATCTTTAGTTTACGCTTTTTCGGTTACTAGTTTTTGGACACGTGCGTTGCACGTATATCCCATATTATATGGTTGCATAATATATGTCTATAGTTACAAATATATGTATAAAAAAAAATTGATTGTGATATAAATTGGAAAACATGTATAAGATAAGAAATCAAAACAGATACCCTCAAATTTCAAACTATAAGCATAATAAGAATATGTATTTCTAATGAGTTTAATCAATCATACCTTGCAATAATCTCTGCAATTCATTGAGAAACTTTCAATCCATACATCAACATTCAATCGTGTATATATAAAGAAAACTTGAAATGCATAACAACAATTATATCTATATTTTTTAAAACACTATAAAGTCATTTTTTCTTTTTGCATTATAATATGGATTGCACACAATTTCTATTAAAAAAAAGAAAGACAAAATTAGGAAAAATCGTATCAATAAATTGGAATGAAAAATGTAAAATTGTAATAAGAGGAAGAGAAGAAAAATCAGTAGAATATATTTACCTAACCATGAATAAGGAAGTATGTTGAGTAAAAGAAGAGTAATGCAAAAGTGTGA